GTCATAAAAGGACACGGGGATGACCCTTAGCTTAGACAACAGAAACTTTTTTCTTCCTTTAAACTCCTACAGGGGGTGAGTGAAGTGGAATTTCACAAAAAAAGAGTTAGGATGGAAATGTTTAATCCCCATTCCTAGCGCAGCAGGCGACTACTCTGAATCTGCTATGTGTTTAAACAGAAGTAAAGAAAACTAGAACACCTCACTCTGCCATGCAGACAAGACAGAATGCTTAGTTTGGCCCTTAGAGGGATGCATTAAAGAATGAATATGTTCAGAGATGTGTTTGTGTGGACAAAGGGGTGTGCATGGTGGGAGATGGAGGTTTACATTCAAAAATAATGTGAATTTCTGTGCATTAAAAAAAAGAAAAACAAAGCAAAATGTCACAGACTGAAACATGAAGTCCACAAAATATTTACCAAATGCAAACATTTGATATGTGAAAAAAGTCTACAAATACATTTTATCTAATGGAAAAATTGAGTGTAAAGATACACAGATTTGAAAAGAAATGCATACAATGATCTATATTATGAAAATATGCACGGAACTACTAATGCTTCTTCATACACTCTTTAAAAAAAGGAGCCAGCTAATGTAGAAATGGGATGGAACAAACTTAGTATTGGAAAAATGAGATCCTGAGGGGAATCAAACCTTACAGATTCATTTTTCCCTGTCTCACTGTTGAATGCATTACATTAAAGTGATTTTGCTGCCTTTAAGGGTGGAACTTTTTGAAGGTGCAAACAACTCTTACTGTTCCGAAGTTTTGCTCCTAGACCTCCAGTGACTTATCCACACTACAGCGTCATCTGAATGGCAGAAATGAACAGAATCCGAGTTTTATCAAATGCTCAGACAAATATGAAAAAGAGACGTGGCCTTCCCCTATCTCCATTAGGCAAACAGTATTATTAGACAAAAAATACAGTTAAGAGCTGCAAAGAGATCAAACCGGCCAATCTCAAAGGAAATCAACCCTGACTGCTCTTTAGAAGGCCAGATACTGAAGATGAAACTCAAATACTTTGGCCACCTAATGAGAAGGAAGGACTCCCTGGAGAAGACCCTGTTGCTGGGATCAACTGACGGCAAAAGAAGGAGGGGACGGCAGAGGATGAGGTGGCTGGATGGGGTCACTGAAGCAGTCGGCGTGAGCGTAAGTGGACTCCTGGGGATGGTGGAGGACAGGAAGGCCTGGAGGAAAGTTGTCCATGGGATTGTGATGGGTCGGGCATGACTTTGTGACTAACAACAACAGTTAAGAGCATAAGAGCCCCCGCCAACCAGATGCTGCTGGGAAGCCCACAAAGTGAACAGGTCCACACGCAATAGTCATCTTCCACTGTGGCTCTGTAGCAACCTGGATGCCACCTGTCCCCATAATTAGCTCCAGCTTTCCGAGGGCTCCTGGGCCCGCTTGTTCCTTTGGTGAATCTACATTCTCACCACCCAGCCATGCCCAACTCATGACAACACTCCTGATGATCGGCAGTCACTGCTAACCTCGCCCAGTTACTCAGAGGCAGTGATGTCCCTTCCTACTCAGAACTTTGCAGTCCCTCTTGGCACTGCTGTGACAAGAGAGTCTCTGCCATCGGGTGCTTTTCATAAGATGAAAGCACGAGCAAGCAGGAAATTAAACATTTCACTTTCTCACCCAGGTAACATTTTATTAAAGATCAGAATAGGGAATAAGCTTTTGAGATCAGATGAATGCTTGGAGATCTCTTCACTTCACTTTTATTCTTGGGGGTAGCGATGGAAGAAAATCACCTAGAAACACCTTTGCTTTAATCATGCTATGGGCTGAGGGGTTGCTTCAGGTTTTGCTGTGATCCAAATACAATTAAAAGGAATTATTATTCTACTCGCTTTACAGATTAAAGCAGCACTTGTGAAAAAATGTAGGAGGGAGCTACATGTATTGCTTGCACCCTCACTTATCAATAATGTTGCCACAAATGGGTTTGTATCTGTCTGTCTGTCTGTCTGTCTGTCTGTCTGTCTTTGGAACATTTAGTATGGAGGAAAATTAGCAATTTGGCCAATGTAATGGAGCCCTTTGGGGTACTGCTGTTCAATTAACTGAATCAATTCTATGAACTCCCCTTTCCTAATAAAGTTATTAGATTGGGCAAAGGTCTGCATGAATTATACCTGCAGTGGGGCAAAGGAATGCCTTTTTGGTCCTGCGAGCACCTCAAGCAGAGAAAGTCATTAAAATGTTTTCACTTGCAAAGTCTACACCAGCCTTCCTAAGCTGGATGCACTCCTACGTTGTGGGACTATACGGTCAATGCCATGTCCGGAGAGTATGGGAGTCGTAGTGCAGCCAATGTTGAGAGCATCGGGATGAGGAAGGCTGGCCTACACAGTCTAGGCTGAGCATACTCTAAAGGTCTTCCTGCAGAAAGTACTGCAGGAATGGGCAATTTGTGGCCCACCAGCTGTTCTGGCCTAGAAGGCCCACCACTGCCCACTGTTGGCTAAGGCGGCTAGGCTTGATGGATGTTGATGGATGGATCAAAACATCTGGAGAGGAAAAAATGCCCACCTCTGCCCTCCTCACTGTGCTCCCAACCTTCTGCTAATGGGTAGAACAGGATAAGGCTCTGCATAGCTCCCTTCTCAGGCAGCTCCTGCCACTTCCCTGGACTCCAGTTCCCTCTGGCACAGCTGTGAGTTCAAATTTCTGGCGAGTATGCCCACTGCTCATGCGGCACTTTCCAGGAACGGAGCCCCACACAACCACAGTGCAACCAACATCCCGCTGCACGTGCATTGGACTTCCTCTTGGCTCAGCTTGCTTTCCAAGGTATGGCCAAGCAGCAGAGGAAGTCCGCAAACCTGGAGGGGACGGATTTCACAGAGCTTGGACACATCCCTAGATATGCCTATGTGGACTGGGATGCTGTTATTATGCCAATGGCACCTGGCTCTACCTTTTCTCTTTATTTAGCCCAAGTGGATGTCCTGAACTGGTGCCTGAACAGGGTGAGGGCCAAAAGATGGAGCTCAACCCAGACAAGGCAGTTAGCAGGTTCAATGAAGCTCAGCCTGTCTTGCATTCCCCCCAAAAACCAGGCATGCAGCTTTGGGGATACTCCTGGTCCCTTCCTGCTGCTTGCAGCCTCGATGGCCTTACTAGCAGCTGCTACCCTGTCGGGACAGAGAGAGTCTGGCTACAAGGATCCATATCCTGATAACTATGTAGCTGGATTATTGTTAAATGTGGGGTTACTTCGGAAGCTTCAGTTAATTTGAAACAGAGCTATTAGGTTATTAACTGGGCTGACTGACATGAAATCAGCTTCATTAACAGCACTGGCTTCCAGTCCATTTCTGAGGCCAGTTCAAAGCGATGTTGTCAATGCTTCAAACTCTAAATGGCTTGGAGCCAGTGTATGGGAATGCACAGGACATATTGCCAGGGAAAGAATCAGCAACTCTGTCAAAAATATGACTTACAGAGAATACTTGTTATGGCTAGTTCAGACACACCGGGAAATGTAGGTCTTTTTTCTGCCTAAAAATGCATAGGATTTGCCCTTAAGAGCACTAACAAAGCTACAAATGCAGACTCCTGCTCCCAGATCTTCCCAGTATCCATCAGTCTGTGCAATATACCATGCTAATACACAGGTTTAAAAAGCAGCAGGCCTGGAGGAGTGTTGTCCATGGGGTCACGATGGGTCGGACACGACTTCGCGACTAACAACAACTACAATATTAAAGAATTGTCAGCAACAGCACCAACAAATCACACTGTGATCTTTCAAATCACATTGTCTGCTTTTTCCTTTTCACAGTATTGAATATTTACCTTGAGGAAACAAGTAATTAAATTTCAGCAAAGTCCTTGGCAATCCTATAAACAATTGTTTATACAAAACAAACCAATACACAATGTTTTCTGACAAGCAACAGATTGAAATAGCCATGCTCTGATTTTTCCACACAAGAGCCTTCCTTTTCTACATGCAGGGCTTATCTTATGAAATAGTCAGTGCTAAAAAGACAACACTCAAGGCTGGGATTGGAAAGGTACACCCTACAAGCAAACTGCAACTGCACCCCAGGAAGCATGTCCTTCCTTAGCAAAATCCCACTTCTGAGGGCATCCTCTCACTGGAACTCTGTTGTAAGCCGCCCCGAGGCTTCGGTGAATGGGGCGGCATAAAAATGTTTTAATAAATAAATAAAATAATAAACTTTGAGGGCCCCCTAACCTTCAGAGGCCACATTAGAGGGGCTACAGTGGAAGGGCTGTGCCATGCTTGGGATGCAAGGTAAGTGCTCCAAGGCAGCCCTTTGGAGTCCTACCAAGGAACGTGATCCATTCTGGATCACACCAAAAGTCCACCTAGTTCAGCACTGTGGTCACACACTGGCCAACCAGCTGCATGTAGAGAACCCCACAAGTAGGACACGGATGCAATAAAACTCTCCTGCACATCTTCCCCGGCACCTGCCACAGACCGATGGACCGATACTGGAGGTAGCACATAGCCATCGGGACCAACCATGAATCCTCCACCGATTTGTCCAATACATTTTTAAAACTATCCAGACTGGCAGCCACCCCAAATTCCACCATCCAATTCCTTTTATCTGTCCCACATCTCCCACTTGTCAGCACACAGGGTCCCATTAGAGGGTTTTAGCATTATGAAAGAGGGAGAAAAATGCCCCGGGCCTTTTTTCTCCAGACCAAACACGGTTACGTACACTTCAACGATATCTCCCTTTAACTCACCTCTTCCCTATGCTAAACAGCTCCAGCAGGGAGATACTTCTCTCTCTGTTAGTTAAATAAGGGCCCAGGATGGACTGAACCAGTATGCAGTGCAAAGGAAGAAAAGAAGAAGAAAGGACGACCGGACTGAACAAGCTACTGGGCAAGTGAGTTCCTCGACCCTGGCAGTTTTCGCCATACTGGCTCTTTGGGGGGTTTTGGTTTTCCCTGATGCATCAAATAACAGCCTTGCCGATTACTCTTGACTAAGGTACCCGATTGTGGTGACATTGAGGCTGACCTTGGAGTCACCTCCCCCGCTGCCGCACTCTCCTTTGTCGTACCACCATTTGTTTTTCAATTTGTCCAAGAGGCCTTGCTCATTCAGTTTTAATACTGCCAGGTTAACAGCATTTCTTGAAACGATAAAACATAACTCGTAAGAATCATGCAGAGATGCTCAGTTAAAAGTTGTTCAAACGTATAAAGAGAGGAGCACAAGGAGGACAAATTGGCCAGAAAGAAAGAGAGGAAAAAATTTGTTTTGATTTTTGTTGTTGTTTTTCACAGGGGAGGTGGAACTATAGAAAATGTGTTTGATACAGCAAATAACGGGGTGAAATATTAGAAGGTGGCATGGAGGATATATAAACATTTGCTCAAAAAACGGAAGTGTGCGGGATGGGGAAATTGTCTATTGAGGAAAAAAAAGAGACGTAGAAGAGGAAGAAAAAAAGGCAACGAGAACACCACATCATGCAATTAACACTCGTCACATATGGTGGATTTTAAACTTGGGCTTTTACCATTTAAATTGAAAAAAGCCACTGGACTGTAAAATTAAACACACACACACGCACGCGCACACACAGAGACCAACAAACAATCAGGAAGGACAACACAGAGAGAACATTTAGAAAAAAAATGGATGCATTGTCAATGAAACCATAATTTACCGTCTTATCAAACTCCATGGAATACTGAAAGGTTTTTTCCTTTTTTTTTTTTTTTTGAAAACTTGTTAAGTTTACCTCAAATCCACAAGAAAGAAAAGACAACACAGTACATCAGGGTAGGTGGAATACTATAACAACATGGATATTGTTATACTATTCCACCCACCTTAATGCTGAGCCTTTGGGAGTTGCTACACCATAGCCTTTGGAATCCAGGTTCCCACCAACTTTCATTGTGTCACAGGGCTTTCGTTGTTCAATGTACTCATTCATGGTCGATTCGAGCAGGAAGGCAAACTTCCCCTTTGATTTCCTCACGCGAGCCACCCCATCCGCGGTCGTTTTGGCAAACACAGATGGTTCTGCTGACTTCATATATGACCACATTTTCTCATAGACGGCTATTTTGGATCTCTAAGAGGGAGGAGAAAAAGAAATAAAAGAAGAGAAGAGTCAACACTCACATTGCCCTCTGAACTGAAGCCGGCCTGAGAAGAAAGATGGGGAGTAAATTAACAATGGAGAAAAATGCTGGTTGCGTTGACTGCCTCCAGGATTGAAAGTAGCATGATGCCTCAGAAGGCCAGTCATGTGGAAACAACAGTTGGAGAGGACAATTGTCATCATGTGGGGGAAATGTGATACGGATGGACCTAGAAAGACTTTGAGTTTGAGCCACCAGCCCTTTTCTTGAGTTCTTATGAACTTCCTGGAATAATCAGTTCCTCCCACATTTCCCAAATATTTATTATGGTTTTGCCATGGTCGAATGGAAATTTTTCTCTTTTGTCTTTCTGAATGATTTTTCTGTGGGGCAGAAGAAGTCATGAGAAAGCTCACGGGGTTCCAAGTAGAAGACAATGACATCCAAGCACCCCTTTGTAATATTTCGTGAAAGACACTGGCTGATTCCATGACAAAAGCATCATCTGGACATGGCCTTGCTCACATGCAATTCTGTATAGCAGTCTTCATCCAGTTGTTATGGACTACAACCCCCTTTGGCCCCAGCTAGCATGGCAAATGGTCGGGGATGATGGGTGCTACAGTCAAAACCATCTGAAGGGCACTATATTGTGCCTACACTGGTGTACAGGACTGCATGAAGCTGAATGGTACTGGAAGGAAATAAGCATAGAAAGAACTGCCTGCTGTCAAGTGAGCTAGTCTGTTAGTTAAGAATAACCAGATAGCTAAGACCGCTCACCTAATGGCAGAGCTGTGGGAAGCTCTAGACCAGGGGTGTCCAACCTGTGGCCTGCGGGCCGCATGCAGCTCAGGATGGGCTATGAATGCAGCCCAGCACAAAACCATAAACTCCCTTAAGCCATTATGAGATTTTTTTTGCAAATTTTTTGGTAACTCAGTTGTGTGGTTCTCAAGCGTGAACTTTGCAGACAACGTCGTGCCACAATCTCACATAAAACAGATGTATGTATCTTGTCTTAGGATTATTATGTGAGGACTTTTTTGCTTATCTGTGGAGGTAGATATCACAAAAATTATGCACAGGCTTTTGCTCATCAGTTTTTGTTAGTGTTTGTGTATTTCATGTGCAGCCCAAGACAATTCTTCTTCTTCCAATGTGGCCCAGAGAAACCAAAAGGTTGGACACCCCTGCTCTAGACTTTAGCATTCTCTGAGGAAGGATCATCTTACCCCGTCTCTCAGATTCTTCTCTGTCTAGTGCACCTTTCTTTGAAATGGCATTAGGTTAACTGAATCACTGAAAAATGTGTCTCAATCTGCTTTTAATTTGCTGCTCTCCTGTTGGTTCTATTTTCTAAAAGTTTATTTTGATTGTGACATTTTAACACTTAAGGAAAATAAGCAGTGGCTACTAGTCCTGCAGGCTATAGTTTCCCTCCAGCATCAGACACAAAATGCCCATGTGCATACAGTGGTTGGGGAACATGGGTGGAGGGTGCTGTGGCACTCCTGCCCTATTTGTGGGCTTCCCCCGCTCATCACACCTATGGCACTACCTAAACTATTTAGATGACAGCACTGGTTGTAATTTTAATTTTAATTTATTAATTTTAACATTTGGTGGAGGGAGAGATCTGGTGTTTAATTTTGTCTATTTATTACAATATTTTAATTGTATTATTTTATTAATGCTATTATCGATATTTTATTGTAATGGCTGCCCAGAGAGCCTTATGCTAGCAGGCAGCTTTTATACGAATTCAATAAACAAACAAACAAACAGCTAGACTACAGCCTCCATCTTCCTTACTCAGCATGTCAAATGACTGGGCTTCTTGGAACTGGCAATCAAAGAGAGGAAGAGGCTCCCCAGTTCTGAATGAATCCAACTGTGCCATTGGAGGCAAACCCTTAAACCACCAGGTGAGTTGCGCAAGGGGAGCAAAACCCTCTTTCATATTTCATTCCTTTCCCAGACTTCTGCTGCTTTAAACATCTTCTCACATTTAGTTCCAGGAGCAAAGCTACTGGTAGAAGAGAAGAACCAAATGCTGCAAATAAATCAGAGTAGGATTCGGTTCCCCCGACTCATACTTTTCTGTTTTATATGCATCTACTATCATCATCATCATATATTAATTTCTTGAATGTATATATGCATCCCTTCCCATTCTAAATGCAGCCTCAAAGTGACAAACACACACAAATACATGCACACCTATACTCACCTCCCAAATCAGTAGAAACTGTGCTGTAAAAACTGTATTGGACCCCCCCCCCCCATAAACACATTATGTAAAAATAATTAAAGATGAAGATTGCTCCTCCGCTAAAGAGAAAATCTCTACCCCTCTTCTCCCACTCCAGTTCCTAGTCAAGAATGAACACCACAAAAGCAGCCCCTAATAATTGGATCAGAACTAATATCCAAATTAGAAATGATCTAATGATCATCTATTCATGTCACACAGCAGAATTAGATAAAGTAGTACAGTAAGCTGTTGGGAGGGTGAAAGAGAAAAAATACAGGACTCAAGCAATGTCGTAATTATTCTTGCATAGTTGTTCTCCCAAAAGTGGAACACTGAAGCCAAGAGAGATTGCTTTCCCTGGAGCCCTGGCTGCTCTGGTCCACTGATACTTTTCTAGCCACTGAGTTAACCCATGCACTGTCGACTCTGCTGCAGTTCCGTTATGGATATGCAGTGCATGAATATCCCTCTAAACGCAGCCACACTACTAACTACCCATGGTTTGTTAATCATGAACAACTCATTGAGAAAATGAGTCGGGTTGTTTTTGGTTAACAGTATGATTGAATTTAGACACGTTAACCCACTTCAATAATAACTCCCTGTTCAAGGACAACCCACACTCAACTCCTACTCAACTCAGTGAGGATCATTTTGCTGTCTGAATCCCATCACTGCGAGTTGTTCAGTGAATAACCCTCTGTTGCAATGAAGCCGCCCAGAATCCAACCCTCTTTGTTCATGCTTGGCCTTGTCTTAGAAAGTCAGCTGGGCCAAGAGGAAGTTCATCGACACTCGCAGAACACCAGCTGTGCAATCAGACACCTTCCGCACATCACGCCGCACAAAGTCTGCAAGTGCATGAGAGGAAGGGTGCAATCATGCAAGCCTGGTTTCTGGTGGGGACCTGTGCAAATGCTCAGTGTGCTTGCCAGGAAGATGGGCTTATGCATGCAGGAAAGTAGGGTGGCGTCTACGGAGCTGAACTCAGGAAATCTGACAGATCCTCCTCCCCAAAATGAATTCCTCACATTTCCCTAGAACAACCTATGCACTGTGGCTTATTCAAAGGATACCTTTCCATGTCATGTGAACTGCACTAGGATGCAGGTAAATTTGAAAGGGTCCAGGGGAGGGCAACAAAAATGATCTGGGGTTTGGAAACACTGCCCTTTGAGGACTGAGGGAACTGGGCATGTTCAGCCTTGAGAAGAGAAGACTGAGGGAGACATATTTATTTATTTATTTATTTATTTAGGGGACTTCTATGCCGCCCCATTTGCCGAAGCCTCGGGGCGGCTCACAAACATAAAGATATCCCTCTTTAAGTACCTCAAAGGCTGTCATAAAGAGGAAGGTCTAAAACTCTTCCTGCTGATGCCAGAGTGTAGGGCACAGAATAATCAATTCAAGTGGCGACAAGCCAGATTCAGACTGGACATCAGGAAAAGCTTCCTCACTGTCAGAGCAATACGGCAGTGGAACCAGCTGCCTAGAGAGGTGGTGGGTGCTCTCTAGGCAGGACAGATTGTCCTGTCACATTTGCTCATGTGCCTGTTCTGAACCTCAGTTGGAAGTCAAGTGGTGAGCAAAATCAAAAGGGATTCATTCCTCCCACCCATCTGGAGATTTGCTACAAAGACAGAGGATATCAGTTCAGGTAAAAGTGAGTCCTGATCTAACCCAAACCATATAAAACACTTTCTCCTATCATTTCTGTACGGGGAATTAGAGAAGATGTACCCTATTCTAGTTGGGAGACTAAAAGGCAGAATTCCCAGTTGGTAATAGCGGCAGTGCATCACTTTCTTCTCCCACGCAATACATGATGAGGGGCAGAGTGAAATACTGCAGGGATGCTGAACTTCAGCTTCATGGCCCAAATCCAGTCCATCTGAAGAAGTTCCCTCTTCTCACCCCCCCCGCCCCCCAATCTTTGGTAGTTTTCTTGACTTGTGTGCACCTTCTCCCCTTCTAAAAGGTTGAAATGCCTCTTCCAAGGCATAATTGGTGGCAGCAAGAACAAAATATGTTCATAATCTGCTAGCTGTTAGCATGTTTCGCCTTTGGCTTTGCCCCCTACTGGCATGTGACCCTGAAAACATATTCAAAACTGAAGATCCATGCCAGAATAAATACGAGTGGCAAGACGCTTTCTTGTTCTTCTCGCAATAGATTAACAGGACTACCTCTTTGGCATTTAATGTGATGAGGAAGGTTGCCCTAAGGGTTTTGTTTCTAACTGCATGACGGCAAGTGGGTTTTGAGAAGGGATTTCTGTGCCGTCGCTTCCCTACATGAGCATCACGAGTGGCAGGCCAAGTTCAGGCTGTAAATATTAAAAGAAGCCCTGATCCTTGGATAGGACTTCACAGTGATTCACATTTTGAAATGCTTAGCTATAGACTTTGATTTAAATGGACCTCAAAGTGCAAAGCTTAATTTGATCTACCAGAATCCTAAAAACCAAATCCGGAGCAACATCAGGAAGTTGGGTGTTTGTGCTGTGGTCCTTTTAGTGATTAAATCTCCCCTTGGATCACTGAAGCTCCCCTCAGTGCACCTGACGGTTATGATTGCCAGGAAGTTCAGCTGAACACATTAGAAACTCTTCTTCCTAAGTCAAAAACCAAGGTGCTCCATTGTTTTCTATGACTTTTGGCATGCAGAAAGCAAAGGGAGGCAAATATTTTGGTATTAAAGGCTTCCATTAAAAATCATAATACATTCCTA